GGGGCGGTGGGTGGGTAGGGGGTGGGCCAGGTGGGGGGCCGGGTGAGATTGGAGGCCGGCGCCTGAGCCTGGGCGGTGGAAACGGCCTTGGTGCGTGTGGCTGGGCAGGACGCTGTGTCTTGTCGTGGGACGAGAGGAGCCGTGTGCGTGGCGGATGGCGATGTGCCGTGTGGCTGGTCCGGGAGCGTGCGTGCGGGCGGCTGCGGAGGAAGGTTGATGGCACGTGTGTTATGCCCAGGTGAAGGCGGAGCAGATGGCCACGGAGCTGCGGCTGACCCCGTTTACAGTACTGCTTCGCTCGGTGCTGGATCAGCTGCAGGAGAAGGACCCTGCGCGGATATTCGCACAGCCCGTGAGTTTGAAGGAGGTGCGTGTGCAGGCCCCTTCTCGGGGGTGGCAGCGGCAGTGGGTTTGCCGCTGGTACCTACATCTCGTTAGGGAGCCAGGTGGCAGCTGTCTGCACAGAGCAACCACTATGGTAACGTGTGAAGCAGTTGGGAGGGCCCTGGGAGGAGCAGGCGCTTGTACCTGACTGGTCTCGGTACTGCTGCATTTTCCCGTGTGACCATGATTGGTACCATGTGTGGGTGAGCGTGTATGTCTGTACATATGCACCATGTGGATGTACACACACCCTGTGACTGTGGTGGGTTCCTTGGTCGTGTGACTGTGGGAAGGCCCCCCTCCGGTGGTGAGCTTCCTTCTTCCCTGGATCTAGGTGCCGGACTACCTGGAGCACATCTCACACCCCATGGACTTCGCGACGATGCGGAAGCGGCTGGATGCACAGGGCTACACTGCTCTCACTGAGTTTGAGGAGGATTTCAACCTCATTGTGGAGAACTGCTTGAAGTACAATGCCAAGGACACCGTGTTTTACCGTGCGGCAGTCAGGCTGCGTGATCAGGGAGGTGCCGTCTTGCGGCAGACGCGGCGCCATGTGGAGAGTGTTGGCTTTGAGGAGGCCACCGGGATGCACCTGCCCGAGCGGCCCCCAGCGGCGCCCCCGCGGCCCTTCTCCTGGGAGGACGGTAAGCAGTGACTGAAGAATGGCCACCCTAAGGCTGGTGGTGAGGGTGTCACACCTGCGGCCTGGATCTGGCAGGTCTGGTCCAACTGGGGAGCATGCCAAGGGTGTGACGTGGGCTGTCCAGCTCCCCTCTCTTGAGTGAGGAGGAATAGTGAGGAGTTATTTTTGATGGCAGGTCTCATGTGACCTGACACGTTGGGTGTCAGCGTCTCACTTTGTAACCAGAAGACATCACTCGTAATGCCCTCCATTCTCCTCATGTGCTTGTGTGGTCATTCGGGGTCCTTGCACACACAGCTGAGTGGCACCAGCTCTGGAACGCTCTGGAGACCCAGTGGCAAGTGCTGAGTACTGCCCAGCCAGGCCTCGTGATAGATACTGGAGATGGCTGTGTTGGGGCACTGTACCCAGGGGCCCTCCAGTGAGGGGTGGGCATCATCAGACAGGCCCCAGATGCAGTAGCATGGGCTGCCTGCACAGACGGCAGTGGCTGTGTGGGCTGTGCCTTTGAGTGCGGGACGACCTGGGGGGGGGGGGGTCCCTAGCCATCCTGGACTCCTGTGAGGACCCCTGAGGTGGTGGTGTGTACCCTCATGAACCACCAGGAGCACGTCCTGTTGCGGTCAGTTCACACATCCATGTCCTTCTGGAAACCTAGTCCGTGGGGGCCAACTGCTCTCCGTGTGTACCAGGGGTGACATCCACATTCACATAGAGCCAGGCCACTCCTCTGTGTGGGGTGTGAAGTCCATGTTTATGTGGGGCCAGGCCACCCCTGTGTGTGGGGGGTGTGAAGTCCACATTCATGTGAGACCAGGCCACCCCTGAATGGGGTGTGAAGTCCACAATGACATGGAGCCAGGTCACTCCTTTGTGTGGGGTGTGAAGTCTATGTTCACGTGAGGCCAGGCCACCCCTCTTTGGGCTGTGAGGTCCAAGATCATGTGGGGTTAGGCCACTCCTCTGCCTGCAGGCTGTGAAGTCCATGTTTACATGGGCCTGGGGTGTCAGATTCATGTTCACGTGGGGCCAGGTACTCCTTGCATGCCAGATGTCAGGTTTGTGTTTATGCGGGGTGGGCTACCCTTACAGGTTCAACTCTGGGCCTCCTGAGCCCCGCCGTCATGGGGGAGCTGCAGCCCTCACACCCAGTCCCTCTTGGTGGAGAGCTTGTGTACCCCACCTTGATGGACCACATGGCTTGGACGCTGCTGTAGTGGCCTGTGTATCATGGGTGTTGGCCAGGCCTGATGTGGCAGTGGCCCTGCAGTTCCACCTGAGCCAGTGAACAGAATCTGGGGGGATCCCTGTGCTGGCACTGGAGCCGCCCTCCGCCTGCTGCGCCCTCAGCGTGCCTTGTCCTTGGGCCCCACTCCTGGGCAGCTGCGGTCAGAAGGGACGATGCTGACAGTCTTGGATGCTTTAGGCATTCTGACTGCCTTCCGTGCCCCGAGGCAGGTGCCTGCCCAGCAGCCTCTGACCCACCCTCTAACACCCCAGCTTATCTCACGCTTCCCTGAAGAGCAGCTTTTCTCCGAGGTGCTTTGTGCTTTGTGATGTGACTGCTTTGCTGAGGTGGAGGTCTGTGGATTTTGTGCTAAGCATGCCTGATGTTGAGCTGGGCAGCCAGTACGGTGACCTCAGCATGACGCCTCGGCCAAACTGTGGTCCCTCAAGGTGTGGTCTTGGTTAACGCACCTGCACACAGTAGTCCCCACCTGCAGAGGTTGCCCCAGCTGGTCCACAGCTGAGGGTGGCTGGGCTCTGTGTTGTGCACCCTTACGTGGGATGGTTGGAGCCTTGTGCCAGGAGAGCCTCGATAGGTCGTGTCCTAGAGGTGTCTTGGAGGGCAGTAGGGGCCCTGCTACCCCATAGAGCGGGGCTGGAGGCTGCCGTGCCCTGGGATGGGATGGGGTCTCCTGGCAGTGCTGGCTGGCCGAGACAGGTACCGTGGCCCGGTCACAGGTGCCGTGCTTGCAGGCTGGGGACAGGTGGTTGAGTAGGTGGCCAGACTGGAGGTGTTCCTCTTGGCAGGAGAGCAGCACCAGAGCTGAGGGCTAACGCGGGTGTCGTCTCTGATTCAGTGGACAGGTTACTGAATCCGGCCAACCGCGCACACATGGCCTTGGAGGACCAGCTAAGGGAACTGTTGGACAAACTGGACCAGACCTGCTCGATGAAGTCCAGCGGGTCGAGAAGTAAACGGGCAAAGTTGCTCAAAAAGGAAATTGCTCTTGTGCGGAACAAGCTGAGCCAGCATCCCGGCCAGCCCCCGCGGCCCGCGGAGTCAGGTATTGGACGCTTCGAAGAGGACGGGGCTCCATTGGAGCAGGAGGCGGGGGACGCAGGTAAGCCGAGCACTGCCTCCTGGCCGCGCGCGCGGGGGGCGCCCTCAGTGTGGAGCTCTGGTCACCACTGGCCTGATGCCTAGTCCTGCGGCTCCTTTGGTGACGGTGCGCGTGGCTCTGCCTGCTGCAGGGTGGCGTCCCGGATTGTTAGTTCTGCCCTCGGGCCTGGAAAACTATCTGACGAGACCCATGTAGGTCTTACGGTGTGTGGGCGAGTGGCGGTGACACTCAGGGTTAACAAACGAGGTGTAGGACAAGAGTAAGTAAGCTTTGTTGATGTCGGCTCGATTGAGGAAGAGCCATGTCTTTAAGCACCGGCTTATGTCGGTGCAGTGTTCTGCAGGGTTGGTATTGGCGGCTGTCTCGTGGCGGTTCCTCTGAGTTGTGAAGATGGGAGGTTGACTTTCTGCCAGTCCTGGGCGGGTGCATGGGAGCTGAGTGCCCAGGACTTGTCTGCATGCAGATTCCGTGGCAGTGTCCATGTGTGGGGCCGTGGTCCACCCACACCTCACGTGTCCTGTGGAGCAGATGACCCCTTGGCTTTGCAGCTGGCTGTCATCAAGGATGCTGGAGGTGATAGGAAATTGGTGTAGGACGAGGCCTTGTCGACCCAACAGAGAAGCCAGGAGACTGTGCGGATGAGGTGTGAGGCGCAGTAGTACTGTCGGGGTGCACTTTCCTAACTCCCCATGGGGGGCCCCTCCCTCCACTTTGGGAGTTGGTGCTGGGAGCCTTTGGTGACGGCGTAAGAATGAAGTATTGGAGGGTGGACACGTTGGTAGGAAACCATGACCATCCTGTTTTGCTCTCTTACCATTTTAGAGTTAACACAGAATTTTTATTCAAGTTGTTTTTATGCAAAAGCATAGAGCAGAGTAAGGCCCTGGCCCCCGTCACTGTTAGCAGTTTGCTTTTCAGTCTTCTGTTTTCCTTGTGTCTGCAAAGACACACAAGCACACATGGTTCTCGCACAGTTTGCCTTTTTTTTTTTTAAACTTTAGTCTGCCATGGGCATGTCTGTTGACAGGCACAGCATGGCCTGCGCCGGCCCCAGAAGGATCGTATGTGGACCCCATGCTGTGGGGGTGCCCTGACCCACGGTTGCTAGCCTCGTTCTCTGACTCCCGCAGTGACTCCCATGGCATCATTGCTGCTTTGAGTTGGTGGTGGCAGCAGAGCCGGGCCCTTGGGGCTCACACCTCTTCAGAAACAGACGTTTTCCCTGCTTCTGATCACTCGCCTCACACAGCTCCTGTTCCATTCTTGGTGTCTTTTACTCAGGCTGCCATCATCATTCTCCAGATTCCAGAACTCCTTCCAGGTGGGAGGCCCCACTGTGGGTCCAGACAGTAAAGACTTGGTTTTTGGTAGTCAGCACTGGGCTGCTGGTCTCAGTAGCCTGTGACATCTGTTGCACTTTCAGGGCTTGTAGTTGTTTGAGGAGCCCTGGGTCATAGGAAGGAGCTCTGATGGTGTAGTGCCTACAGCATTTGACTATTATCCAGCAGGTTGGCAGTTCAAACCCACCAGCCACTCCTCAGAAGGAAGGTCGGGCAGTCTACTTCTGTAGAGATACTACCTTGAAAACCCAAGGAGGGGTCGCTATGAGTTGGGATTGACTCAATGGCAGTGAGTTTGTTTTTTCTTTTTTGGTGGGTCATAGGAGCTCTGGTAGCATAGTGCCTAAGGCACTTGACTGCTAACCAGAAGGCTGGCGGTTCAAACCCACCAGTCACTCCTTGGAGGGAAGATGGGGCAATCTACTTCTGTAGTGATACTGCCTTGGAAACCGAAAGAGGGGTCGTTATGAGTCAGGGCCGACTTGACAGCACCTAACAGGAGCTCTTTGGCAGTCAGCCCAGCCAGGACCCACTGCCCCCGACGGTCAGTGACCTCCTAGTGCTCCGATGTGTTGTTGGGGACACCACCAGCACATGGCTCCGCCTTGGGAGTGGGCTCTCCCCCTGCCTGTCTGCTCATCGTTTGGTCCCAGGGAGAGTGAGAAGTGGTCACCATCATTTGGGGCCTCCCTGTGCAGGCATCTGTCCAGCACACCCGTTCCTCAGCATCCACCTGTTGCCAGAGGGAGTTGACCTGTGGCCGTGGTGCCAGTTGTGTGAGAGGGACATGCAGAGCAAGATGGTGGGCCATGATGTTGTTGACAGCAGCGGCTGATGGGTGAGGAGGAGGAGGAGGGAGGCAGGCAAGCAGAGAACAGCCTGAAGGGATTGGAGCTGGGCAGCTGGTTGGGCCTTTGAAAGCCTGGAAAGCTGTATGGTGTGCAGAACTCGTAGGTCTGACGGAGGTGGTAGCACCTTAGCACCTCCTGAAGAAATGGGCCCTGTGGGCCAGGCCTGTGCTTGGGAGCTGGGGTGATGGTTGTGCTGGGACGGTCACCATGGGGGAGAACTCGGCTTCAGGGATTTACGAAGTGCCTGGGTCTGCCTCCAAACAATAAGGGCTCAGGGTTTTTTTTTCATAAACATCAGCGTGCTTGCAGAGAACAGTTGTCTCTCGAGGAGAACTGTGTGCTCACGAAAATTGCAATGTAACTGTAGCTGTATTTATGTAGTATAGATACTGTTCCTATTTGGAGAAACTGGGGTACAAAGGTACCTGTTGGGCTTCTAGAAGGAGGTGGCCTTGGGTGTTTCAGAGATGCTGCAGGGGAGCTCCTCGAGGGAGAAGGTTCCCAGAGGTCAGGGGCGAGGGTCAACAGGGGGTGTCCCCTTCGTGGGTACTGGGGCTCGGTCCTGTAGCGTGGAGCTCGGGGTGCAGGGCAGTGCCTGCCGATTGAGCACATGGACTGTGGCTGCTTGGAGCTTCAGGTCCAGGTAGTGTAGTTTCGTCAGGTAGCACTTGGTGTGTGGACTGTGGTGGTGAACACAGGCTGGGGGTGGCTCACTTACAGTCAGGCTGGGATGCTTCATGGTGGCAGAGTCAGCTTGATAAGCCTGGTGGGAGTGGTTAGCACCTTGCGTTCATGATCTTTTATAGGAAGCTGGGTGTCACTTGACTGATTGGGCATCTGAGTCATGAGGATCGAAGTAGACCTGGGTGAGAGTGATTGAGTGGTGTTTGATCGGCCATGGCTGGCAGCCCTTGGGAGCCTCTGAGCCGGTGGCGGGCTGGCGTCTCGATCACTGGGTTGTAGTCACAGAGTTCTTTGTCTCTGACTGTAGCGGGACTCTGCCTGTTGGGGCTCAGTTTGGCCGTGATAGCCTCACTAGGTCCATGCAGTGACGGGCCAGGGAACACTGCTGGGCGCAGCTCTGCCACCAGCATGAAGCTGGCCACGCTTCACATGAAGGTCGCCTGAAGTGAGCACTGGGCATGAGGTCAGGAGCCAGGACATGGCCGGGTCCAGTATGGCCACAGATGGGAGATTTCCAACCAGGCTGTGTTGTGGTTCCCTAAAGCTGGTCGTAGTTCCAGGTGGTGGTGTCCTGAGGACTTGCACTCCAGATCAGAGTGGCCTCTGTGTGAAACCAGTCCATGGCTTACTGTGTGCTCCTTGTGCATGTCACAGGCTCCAAGGAAGGGAATTTTAGGAAGATGAAAGGTTTTCAAATTTAGAGATGTTGAGACTTCACTATTCTTACAGACTTGATTCTGGAACTTCCCACCTGTCATTAGTAATGTGAATGTTAGTGGCTCGCAAAGCTTTGGAAGTGCACTTGTCCCAATGGACCTCCTACTGGGGGTTCTGGGGTGGAGGGACAGCCCCTCCTGTGGGTGTGGCTGGCGACCCTGGAGGTTGTGTGGTCACAGACAGGGCTGCGGTTGCCTGGGAGAGAAGGCACAGGTGTGCTGTCTCATTTTGTGAGTAAGGACACTGAGCACACAGGGGCCCTGTGCCAGCCGGGCCCTGGCTCGGGTGCAGCCTTTGCTGTCACCTACTGACCGGCCTCACGTCCCATCACTGGTCTGGGTACTGCTGGGGAGCCCCCTGGAAGCTGACTGCAGAGGGGCCATGCTGGGGCGAGGGCACCATGGCCCAGGGCAGGAATGGACGGCTTTGGGCTTTTGACTGGCTCTGCAGCTTGATCCCACGTAGCCTGCTGGGGATGGAAGGGCGAGCTGCCAGCAGTTGGGTTGAACTTTGCCAAAAGGGGCACAGATAGGGCAGCTGGGGGTGGGGCAGAGTATCTGGGATATTTCCCAGATAGCCTGTTGAATGGAGTGGAAGGTGGGAGTGAGTGGTCTCAGTGGCACTGGTGGCTCTAGCAGGCCAGGGAGTGAGGAGAGGACCAGGGATAGAGCCCATGGAGGAGCCCCGTCTAGCATCACCCTGGGGACCCAGTGAGGCCAGGATAGGTGGATCATGGCCTTGGCCCTGGGAGGCCGAGGGCTAGCAGTGGCATTTTGGTAACTGGTTATGAGTGCCCAATGTGGACCTGGAAGGGCAGAGGGCAAGAACAGGCAGGTAAGAGGCTGCATGTCTGCCCAGCTCCATGCGAGTGAGTGGGCAGCACGCAGCGAGCTTGTCTGCAGTCCTTACCTGGTCTCCACTTGCCAGCATCCTGTGGCATCTTGCCGAGCAGGTGGGGAGGATGACCTCTGCCCCCTCCACTCCTGGGCCGTCAGTCTTGTGCGATGATAAGTGTATTTCTGATCTGGAAATTATGTCTATGAGGCATTTTGTTCTTTTTTATATAAAATTTTTATTGTGATTTTGGTGAAAATTTACAGAGCCTATCAATTCAGTTACCTGTTCATAATTTATACACATTTTGTTTCATGTGGTTGATTATTGACCCCCCCTGCCCCCCATGTAACATCACTTACCCCACTTCTTCCCTGTGTTTTTCCTTTCCGTTGTTCCTTCTTCCCTAACCTTCCTGCTGTCTGACCTTTGTCCTTGGGCGCATGCTGCCCTTTTGGTCTCAAATGGCTGATTGTTGTAAGGAATGCACATCTCTCTAATGTTAGTTTTCACCTTGTACACTTACTATTTGGTTGGAAATCTAGCCACGGGCTAGTTCAGTTCCAGGTCTGAAGAGTGACTTAAGAGCCGTAGTCTTGGGGATTCCACCAGTTTCTATTTGGGTGACAGTTTACTGAGCAAATTTGTTTCCAATCCAAGAATTCATGTACATTCTGTTTCATGACATTGATTGCAATCCCCATAATATAACAGCTCTCTTCCTACTTCCTCCCTGTGGTTACCTTTTCCCTTTGTCCTCTCCTATACATTGCTGCCCTCTGAGCTGTTTCCCTGTTGCTAGTACAGCCCTTCTGATCTCCCTCGGTTGATTGTTCTGAGGAGTGTACCTACCTGGTGTAAACGTTCTCCTTATATGCTTGTTGATTTGGCTGGAAGCCAGTGGAGTGAGTTCAGTGCCAGGCCCAAAGGGTGACTAGGAGCCATAGACTCTATTAGACCAGTAAGCCTGGTCTTTTTTATGATTTTGAGTTTTGTTTCATATTCTTCTTCCACTCTATCCAGCATCTCCTATTTTGGTCCCTTTCCCAGTGGTTGACGGTAGTAGCTGGGCACCATCTAGTTGTTCTGGTCTCAGGACCATGTGGGCTGAGGGCCACATGGTCACTAGTTCCTGGGACTAACTGATTTTCTTCATTCTTCTTTGCTGTGGACAAGGGGAGATCAATTGCTGCATCTTAGAAGGCTGCTTGCCAGCTTTCGTAACTTGGTCTCTTTAATGATTTTGAGTTTTGTTCCACAGTTGTCTCCTATTCTATTTCAAGCCCTTCTAATGTGATCCCTTTCAGAGTGGTCAGCCTTGGTACCCAGCCTAGCCAGCCACCATCTAGTTCTTCTAGTCTCAGAGTTGTGGAGGCTGTGATTGTCTGGCCCATTAATCTTTGGACTTACTGTTTCTCTGTGTCTTTGATTTTTTTCACTCTTTTTGTCCCAGATGTGGACAGACTGTAGTTGCACCTTACATGGCTGCTCACAATCTTTTAAGACTCCAGTTGTTACTCACTACAGTAGGACGTAGAACATTGTGTTTGTGGACTGTGTCAGGCCATTTGACTGTGTGCTGCCCTGAGACCAGTCCTGAGCCCCCCTAGTCCCAGTGACATATTTTCCCTCAAGGTGTTTGATTAGGGCTAAGAAGTTTTCATGTCTTTCCAGCACAAGAAAACAAATAGGTAGATATAGTCTCTGTCAGAGTTGAGTAGGTCCGTGGCTGTGGTCCCATTCTCGTTCCACTCCTGTTCAGCTTGCATGTCTCTGTGTCCACTTGGAGCTTACTGTCCCTGTCACTGCAGGACTGTGCGTGTACTAGAGTCACCCCTGTGGACCGCTGTCCCTATCACTGCAGGACTGTGTGTGTGATAGAGTCACCCCTGTGGACCGCTGTCCCTGTTCCTGGAGGACCGTGGGTGTGGTAGAGGCACCCCTGTGGATCCCTGTCCCTGTCACTACAGGACTGTGCGTGTCCTAGAGTCACCCCTGTGGATCCCTGTCCCTGTCCCTGCAGGACTGTGCGTGTCCTAGAGTCACCCCTGTGGATCCCTGT